CAGCAGTTGAAAGGAGGCACCGATGAAGTTTTACACCGATGTATAGAAGCTTGAAAAATGAGTCGGTTGAGAGGTATTTTTCAGAGAGCTCTCCATCAGCTTCAAATTTAGGTTACCAGATCAGTGTAGGGGATTTCAGCGGAGGTTGCTGCTATTAAGCAGGCAGTCGATTTTCTGCTATTGGGTGCGCTTAACATTTACTCAGAAGCCAGGTGGCAATCAGAGCCTCGGGCTCATTTACGTTACACCCGAAGCTTGTTGGGGAGAGTGCATTCACTGGCTTTCGATCGCGTTGGATTATTACCGTCTTAGACTGCATACGGGTTCCTGGTCAAAGCGATATCACAGGAAAGTGTGCGACTGATGAACTGGCCATGGGCGGCATCTTTGAGGCAGCATCACAAAGAAAAGTAAGAGTGGGAGCCCCCTTGACTACTAGTGGACTTCTCTTGGAACGATGGGGGAAACCAAAGCTTGCGCTGCTGAGAACTCATTTTGGCCGGAACGGTTAAGGGGTCGCCTTATGCTTGCAAAGCCGGTAGGTGTACTAGATGGTCACGGTCTTAGCGAGATACAAGCAGTGAGATTAAATACCTTACAGGACCCCTTTTGTCCCAGCTGAATGTAGGATAATAGAAACATCTCAACACATGCTCTCAAACTGGCCAGCTATTCCAGATTACGGCTTAGGCACTTAGGTTCGTACTTTTTGACTAGTCTGGAGGAGCACTCGGGTCTACCGCCTGCAAAACTTCGTTCTTGGCCCTCGGCGAACCCCGCTATAGGGAAATTCACCAACGACATGTTGTCGATTCTATAAATCCCCTAGAAATACTAGATAGAAACTCGCTTGTTTTCTCAACTGAAAAATTACTAATTGGGATATGTTTTTAAATGCCCCTGCATGCAGCTCATTGACTTAACAAGCTAAACTTTTCCAGCGTGCAGTTACTTGACACTTGTTTTCGAGTTGTCATATTAGCTGAATAAATACAACGTGAAAAGCCATTAATCGCCAAATCAAATACAATTAAGCTATTAAATTGTAGCTGGAAATCACTCAGCAGCCACCGCGGTGCGGGCTCCAACTGTTCAGGTATTTAAGTGTTGCAGCTTTGGTGTTTGTATTTTCTTAGTAGATCTACGAATTGAGTTGAAAAACTTGTAAAGACAGGCGGCAACGCTAGACAGCTTGGCGGCAAACATAATACAAAAAGCTAAATGTGCAAACAAAAATCTTTTAATTGGCAAGTAGAAAATATTTTTAATGGAATTAAAAATTTTTTTTCTTTAACTTTTTAAATGGTGGGAAATATCAGCATCTTTGAATGTCCGTAGTTTGTAGCAATACAGGCTGACAAGAAATAAATGCATATACATAAACTTTAATAGCTTTTAGTGATTGTAGATTAGAAAAGAGTTATTTAACCGCGGAAATTTAGCATCTTACAACAACAATATGCGCAGGCTTCAAAGGCTATCAAGCAATGTTTTCTCAATGCGCAAAACTTGCGAAGTTAGGCAAACAAATTTCCTAGATTGCTCTACGAGCTTATCATAGTTCGTTTGTTGGTGTCTCGTGCATGTAAGTAAACAGTTAATTAAAACAAAACTTTGTAATGATGCCGGTAGTTATGGCAGTGAATATACTCATAAATAATCCACTAACAGCCCAAATAACAACAAAAAAATTCGCAAATTGCGCTTTGTGCAATTCGGTTATTTGCAGGAGACAAATAGGCAGCGAAACGGGTGCTAACCGGTAACCCGTGCGGATTATTGAAAAAAGAAAACAAAATGCTCGGACTCAAGCTATGCAAGCATGAAAATGCAAACGTGTCGGCTGCGCTTGAAGTAGGCCACGGATGCTGGATGGAAAAAACAAATATCGCACATGAGAGGCTATTTACAGTGGAGCAAATGCCTAATTGGCAATAAAATATTATTTGATCAATAGATGCTCGTAGAGGTGATGAACACTGCCAAAATAACCAATCAGTCATGGCATAGGCAGAAGTATCAGGGATCGGCCAAATCTACAATGTAAGAAAAATCGGCGCACTATAGTCCTGTACAAAACACGCTTTGGGGAGGAACAATGATGACGTATTTTGGAACGAATTTCCGTCATCCCTTGTCAAATTTGGATTGGAGACAAACCGTTGTGCCATCTTCAGTGCCATTTTTCGTTCTGCATAATTTTTGTCGGTTGCTCGTATTTATACTCCTTGTTAACTACCTCTTTCTTTGGTTAGGTACGTCTTCTTAGTTTTGCAGTGTTTGCGGTGCTCAATAGGTAGATGAATTGTTCTGGCTCGTTTTTGACGGCAGGTAGAAGTCCGTCCAGTTTGTTTCCATACCAAATTTGACAAGGGATGACGCAAATTCGATCTAAAATACATCATACACCCACCCTGTCGGAAACAACAGCAACCAAAAAGGAAACAATGATGACCTTGTAGAACACTCGTGAGCTCGGTCAGGTGTAATTAATAGTTTTTTTAATCTAAATTTCGGCCATATTTTTCAGACCTCCATCTTCCACCAATAATATTTTATTCTATCCTTGCCTATCTGTGCACGTAATTTATTTGCGTCCCTAGGTCTTTCCGTTAGCTGATTGATTAAGAATGTCTTTGAAGGCCTTACTTTTACTGTGGATTGAATATTTCAGCCACAACTTAACCAATTTTAGAATTCACAGTGCCATAAAAAGTAGAGACCTAGAATAATAATTATTTCATGGTGGAGTTTTAAAAAAGGTCACCCAAATTTTCGTAAGAATTTCGGGACTAGTTCGGGATCAGTTCGGAAACAGTTTGGAACTATTTGGGGGAAAGTTTGGGACCAGTTGGTGACTAGATTGGAACTATATTAAATACATAATCCCGAACTGGTCTCAAACTAAGCCACAACCGGTCCCAAATTTTTCTCAACTAGTCCCGAACTGGCCCCATCTAGCCCCTAGCTGGTCTCCAACTAATCCCGAAATGGTTCTGAACAAGCGCAGTGTTTTAGGACTTAAAAAATTTCTTCGCACTCATAATTATTATGAAAGGACTTTTATAGTATAAGTCTAAAAATAAAAGTCTTTGAAGACTTAAAAATATTTATCTCGCAGATAATTATTATCATAGGACTTTTATAATATAAGTCCTTGAATAATAATTATAGATGACTCGAAATTTTTTATCTTAAAACTAACTTTGAACTAAACGAATCATTCCGTGGTTTATGTCAAGATTTTAACTGTCATTCCAGCACGTTTGACGTATCGGACTCGATTTTTACTATAAAGAAAATTATTATTTCCACTCTCAATAATTGAAATACTATCTTTAGCATATCCAATCAGCTGATGAATTTGATTCTGTAGCTGAATAGTTTTAGATCTCGACACTTAACAAACTCCTGTTTCCACTACTCGGCACGAAAAAACTAAAAAAAAAAAAGAAAAAAAAAGGTTCCGTACGTCATACGGACTGCGCCCCTCGTGTCGGTTGGGCGGGAATGGATGGTAAAAAGCCGTTGGGATTAATTAATTAATTAATTAATTAATAACCAGGGAACGGATTTTATGGAAATTGCCTTTTTTTCTGCTAAAGAGATAGAGTATATTCGATTAAGAATGTCCACGATTTAGCTTTCCCTGATTCCGTGTGTATATAACACATTTGATGTTGCCTTTTTTTGCCTTTTTTAAGATATTTGCCTTTTATTTGCCTTTTTTAAGATATTTGCCTTTTTTTGCCTTTTCTACCTTTAAAAAAGTGATTATAGCATTTACAATTTTTTTTTTTTAAGATTAAAAAATATACACATGTTCATGCGGCTTATAGAAGCGCAAGGACCTCTTGCCAAATTGGTGTTGGAGAAATTCAAAGCCTAAGCTAACGGAGGCTTGGAGACAATAAGGGGTGTGGATAAAATTGTAAAGGGCGAGAAAAGCGCCCTTATTCCTGATAATATGAACGTTTCAAACGTTCCATATTTAAATTGGGCTCCACTTGTATCAACTTACGACGAGCGCACATTTAGTGCATTCAAGGCTTTTCTTCGCGAAAATCTAATGAAAATGCAGCCAGAAAACTTCAAAATGTATCTTGTGGTTCAATGTTACTACAACTATACAGATAAAAGTTTTATGAGTTAGAAACTCGAGAGAAGAAAATAGTCAAAGATTCAAAGTACACATTTTTTATATAATGAAACTAGTTCATAGTTTTTCTCTTTTTACTTGTAATATAAGCATTTCTAAAATTTTTTGATTGTTCTTATTTCTTATTTGTTCTTATTTTGATTTTTTTGCAATACCTAGTGCCTTTTCCTGCCTTTTTCGTTATTTTATTTTGCCTTTTTTATAGGTTTTTAGGTCCTAAAAATCCGTTCCCTGATAATAACTATTGATTGACTTTTGTTCTTTTCTCTTATAATAGTTATGTCTCTGATAAAAAGATATTTAAATCCGACATAAATTTCAACTGGCTTCTAAAAACTTTAGCTCAACACATGCGCACAAATTCGTGATATGGATTCTGTTAGAATGTTTTCGATGGCTCAGCTTTTTGTAATTATGCGCGAACAAACCCAAAAGAACCTCGGTTAAAAAAACATAGTTTCCATTTTTTTTTTCAATTAGCGATTCTATAGAATAAACAAAGTGGGTAACCGAAAGTGAGTTTTCGAAAGAATGATATTTTTTTTTAGTTTAGGTCAGGTTAGACGGGAAACTCTGGCTAAAGAGTTATTCCGGGAATCACAAAAGCGCAATTTGATGCCCTGTAGACCCGAATGACTTAACTATTGCAGCCTATTTGGCATTAATTGAATTACAAAAAACCGTACTCAAATCAATTTATCATTTTTCATATACAACATTCCAGTATCAGATTAGGTACATATTTCTACATCCATTTACATTGAACACTCAATTCACGCACACAGCCTAATTAGTATGCCCATTTGATATTTATTTCTTCCACTCTACAATCTCTTTTCAGGCATTCCTGCCACGTTGACTTACATCAATATGGATCACAGTTTAACTGGCTCACCGGAGCTGATTCCATACCCCGACTGGCGCAGCAATACGGCAGGCGACTGCGCGAACAGCATCACCACAGCGTATCGCATCAAAGCGGATGAATGTGGCCGTCTTTGGGTGCTTGACACTGGCACAGTTGGCATCGGCAACACCACCACCAACCCATGTCCGTATGCCGTCAATGTCTTCGACTTGCAGACGAACACACGCATACGCCGCTATGAGCTGCGTGCCGACGACACTAATGCCAACACTTTTATTGCTAACATAGCCGTTGATATCGGCAAATCATGCGACGATGCATTCGCATACTTTTCTGATGAGCTCGGTTATGGCTTGATCGTCTACTCATGGGAACAGAATAAATCATGGCGCTTCTCGGCGCACTCATACTTCTTCCCCGATCCATTGCGCGGTGACTATAACATCGCAGGCTTGAATTTCCAATGGGGTGAGGAGGGCATCTTCGGCATGGCGCTCTCACCGATACGCTCCGATGGCTATCGCACAATGTTCTTCAGTCCACTGGCCAGTCATCGTCAGTTCGCTGTGTCGACACGCATTTTGCGCGATGAAAGTCGTGTTGAGGATAGTTATCATGATTTCGTAGCGCTGGATGAGCTGGTCCCAACTCGCATACGACAGCGCGCGTGATGAGCGATGATGGTGTTGAACTCTTTGATTTAATTGATCAGAACGCCGTAGGCTGCTGGCATTCATCCATGCCATACTCACCACAGTTCCATGGAGTGGTGGATCGTGATGATGTCGGTCTGTGTGTTTCCCGCTGATGTGAAAATCGATGAGGATAAAAATGTGTGGGTGCTCTCCGATCGTATGCCTGTATTCTTGCTCTCCGATCTTGACTACAATGATGTCAATTTCCGCATTTATACCGCACCTTTGAGCACACTCATTGAGAACACTGTCTGCGATATACGCACTAATGGCCACGCTCAATCGAACTCGGTCGGCAGCACCAGTTTTTATGGCACCCCTATGAGTACAAACAATATTTATGGTTCACCTTTTGGAATTGGTGATAACAAAGTTTACGGCCCACCCAATACCGTGGCTGTGCCAAAATCTCAGACACGCTTCACTAAGCCATACCTGCCGCCATTGTCCGTCAAGCCTGTATTGCAAGCGGATGTACCGCGTGTGGTGCCGCCAAGCCGAAACTATCTACCACCATTGATGGGCACTGGCTATACAACGCAGCGCGCTGATTTAGCCAAGGCGTACGTCTTCAATAATGGACTGTCTTATGAGGCTGGTGGACCACATTTGTTCCCTACGCAAGCGGAGGGTTTGAAGAACTATGTAACTGCACGTAATGCGGGCTGGTGGACGCATCAATGATTGCAGTTTCTGTAGACTTTTCACTTATCATCCGATTTCGAGCCACCTGCGTAAATACTACATTGATCATCATCAACGCTAAAAAACTTTTCTCTTATACTTTTAGTATAGCTTGTGTGACTTTGTTGTTGTAACTCCGTGAAAATACCCAAGCAATGTTGCCGATGGATTGATTTTAGACCAGAACAAAGCTGTAAATAAATACTCATTCTACGAATTTCGCCTCCATAACAATGTACATACATTTACAATAATTAGTTGCGTAAAGAGTCAATTTTAACTATTAAGATTTTTATTTTGCAAAATAATTTTAAAATAAATTTATCTTAAAATCTGTGGTTTTTTTAAAAGTACATCGGGAAATGAAATGAAATGGAATTATGGTAGGTCGGAAAACTTAAAACGACTTTCCAATCGCTCAGACATCAAAGCCCTTTAGGCCTATAAAAAAGAGGATAAGGAAAAACAACTGCGTGTGGGAAATCATTACTCCTTCAAACCTATCGTAGCTCATACATTCTTTACGTGAGAAGAGATTTCGATACGACCTTGCCTGGGCATCCTAGAAAAAATTTGGTAGCTATGCAGGTGTCGTATTGCATCCACGATTCTCCCAATATACCAAAATACCATAGCCGGTCTTAAACCTTAAGTCTTACTGGGCGTTATCCGACATTGCTCGAAAACTTTCACGGCATTGTTTACTTTTCGAAGTATCAAACAACACAAGAGAGAAAACAGTACACCATCCTGAGACCTTCGCTGATTCCAGCTGCGTTTAGATGTTTATTGCAATATCGTGTAGAACTTTCTTTCAGGATTTTCCACCCTGGTATGTATGTCGGTGGGTACTAAGGGAAGTGACCACCAAAATCCTGGCTCTAATGTACTCTGTGTCATCGCATAAATATGTTTTTCCGGTTTGTGAATGAAGACTAACCGAAGATTTCCCCAGGGAATGATAATATGACCGCATTCCAAAAAGGCTCCGAAACTCCATTTTCCTGCACTTCAGCATCTCTGGATAACCATCGCCTAGGCCAGATGCGAAAAATCTCACTGACTCCTCAGCCGCTATCAGTTTGGTCCGGTGGCTATGCCCGGTGGCCTGCGTCAGGGATTAACCTGGTACCTGGTACCTGGAAAGGACTAGGAAAACTATGAAAACCCCTTATGGAGCAGCTACTTAACTTGCCATTGAAGATGAAATCAAATCCAATCAGTCTTTGAAATGCCTGTTCGATTTTTTACGTAGATATTTGACTCATATAAGACCGACATGAAGTGACCTTTGAATACTGCTGGTGCCATTTCACTGCAGAAAAAAAAACCAACCTATCCAATCACATAAATAGTTGGCTATTTCGAAACTTTTCTGCCACTCTCAGACCACTGTAGACAGCTTGAGAGCAAAAATATCCAAGCAACCGCCTGAGCAATTTTCGACGAATCCGAAGTTTCTGACAAATCCGGAAACCAAAAGAATACTTGCAATATTATAATTTTTGCGCATTAAAAATGTTTCATACATACTTTGAAAAAAACAAAATAAAAATAAAAGCAAAAAAGATACTGGAAATGAAAATATCGCCTTTGAAAATTGAGAAGTTTTATTTGTGAATATGTAATGAATAAAAAAATGACTTATTTAATTTTATCGCCTTTCCCCATAAAGAGTAGGCACGTATGAGATATGCATACATATGCTGCACAAGCATATATACTTAACTTAATAACCACCAGATAAGTGCATGATTTTCAGTTTAGTGAATCTGGCAACCGCATAAAGTAAACAAACAAGCACGTAGCATACATCTGGGCGTTAGCAGTTACAGCAACATGAACCGAAAGAGTCCCGGCTGTTTTCTCTTGCGCGCTTTTAGGATAGGTTCTGGAGCTGTTAACACATTGGCTGCAGGTGTACACAACTGGTAACTACTTCGATAGCATATCGCCGCGTGTCACGCAATGCCTCGTATCTGCCAAATGCAATACCGTCATCTACATTTCTACATACACATGTGTGCATAAGATAGGGCGCAAATTTCACAATAGAACA